GGGGCGATATGCTGGCTCTGTAAACCGCTTAGAGAGGGCTGAAAGCCCTATGAAGCGGTATATAAGTCTAACTGCTATTGCTATTGCTATTGCTAAGGTCGGTAAAATGAGGACCCAGATTGTTGGGGGCAAGAGACTGACTCTGTAAACCGTTTAGAGAGGGCTGCAAAAGCACTATGAAGTGGCAGTCTAAGTCTAAGTGCTATTGCTGTTATTTCTATTCACTTAACAACCATATCACTAACTTAACAACGGCAGTGATTCACTTAGCAAATCTAGCAAGAAAAATCATAAAATGAGGCACTTAACGTATGTCTCATGTAGGAACAGAAATGTTGGGCTCGATTGTGGTCATAAGTTGAGGACTACCCGAATTCCACTTTAATGCATTTCGACTAGAGTTATCATGTCCCAGAAGCATCCTCGTTTTTGCTCCCTCAGTCCATCTGCCGGCGTTTTTTTAGCAGTCTGCAGATGTCTGAGAATCCACCACATCTGGCTCTTGTTGAGGTAGCTAGACAATGTTCTCCAACCAAGAACCTGCCTCTTCCCCTACATTGATATGTAACCCTCTTGTTTTCTAGCTAAGATAACATCTGTGATAACGCCTGCATTGCGGAGTTACCCCCCCCCCAAAGAATAGAGTAGTTTTGAAAACGAGACCGTCTCATTCCTTCTCAGCTGTCCTCAAACCAAAGATAGAGGCACGAACAGTCGTTGCCCTTGTTCTCTTAGGAGGCCGCTTGTCAAAACAAGTCAAAAGATACAAAAGGAATGGAAAGGAAAATTGAAGCAGAACATCTGGGAGAGAAAAATGAACCTTACCACTTCTGGCTGTTTGAGACAACTGGTCTTCATTGTCCTACACAGCTGGAGTCCCCACCGGTGGGCCACAGCCCACTCGCAGGCTGTGGCCTATTCACAACTGGATCGTGTGCGTGACAGGCTGGTGCATGCGCAGCCCAGGGGTGGGTTCCGGCGAGCTTTACTGCCACTTCACTCGTCCGTGTGTTTCGCTTGTGCGCGCATGCGCAGCTGGCTGGGGAATTCTGGGAGTTGAAGTCCACAAGACTTAAAAGTCCACCAAGGTTGAGAAACACTGCTCTAGGGCATGAGAGATAGAATGTGATCAGGGAAGGAGAATCCAGGGGAGTGAAAGAAATGAAAGTAAATAAATTGCCCTCCTCTATAGTATCCTGGTTCTCCCCCCCCCCCCCGAAACTCAGACGTGATGTATTCCTTGCCTTTAGGCCCCCTGCATGTAATATGCCTAGTGTGCAAAACATCAAGGTCCTTCACTCGCCTTCTGTTGTCTTTTCACAGCTTGATCCCAACGTTTAATCAGAAGTTTAAATTTTGTTTTTCTTTTTTTTGGGGGGGAAAAAGAGCTTTGATTTAAGAATAAAAATCTAAAAGGATGGATGGATGGATGGATGGATAGATGGATGGATATAGATATAAAGGTAGAGGTAGAGAGATATAGAGATAGAGATACATAGATGGATGGATGGATGGATGGATAGATGGATGGATATAGATATAAAGGTAGAGGTAGAGAGATATAGAGATAGAGATACATAGATGGATGGATGGATGGATGGATAGATGGATGGATATAGATATAAAGGTAGAGGTAGAGAGATATAGAGATAGAGATACATAGATAGATGGATGGATGGATGGATAGATGGATGGATATAGATATAAAGGTAGAGGTAGAGAGATATAGAGATAGAGATACATAGATGGATGGATGGATGGATAGATGGACAGATGGACAGATGGATAGATATAGATATAAAGGTAGAGGTAGAGAGATATAGAGATAGAGATACATAGATGGATGGATGGATGGATGGATGGATAGATATAGATATAGATATAAAGGTAGAGGTAGAGAGATATAGAGATAGAGATATGGATGGATGGATGGATAGATATAGA